CGTGACGACGGTTCTGGTGATGATGACTCCTCTTGCTGGGCAAACAGCCGTCCGCTGCCAGGAGGATTCACTCGGGTGTGCGTTGACGCAGTCCAAAAGTGCTGGTCATGAAGTGAAACATGAGTTGCCATGATGACAGCATAGCAATGTAAATGCCCAAAACTTGCGGATTGATTAATATTCGTCCAAATGAGCACACATGGACGTAAAGAGCTTTATATACTTAGAAAAAGACCCCAAGACTCTCATATCGCCATCTTTGTATGATCGCGTCTCGCTCGCCAGCGACCAGGTCCCGTCACACTGCGATCAACATCCACTATCCCAACCATGCCACCTCTCGCCCTGCTATCTGCCAATCAGGAAGCTGGCGAGCTACGCTCTCTGAAACGCAATTCCGGACTTATTTCTTGTCCGGGTAAAATCGCCGCAAAGTACGCCTAGACAGCCTTGGCTGGGTTCACCCAGTCAGCCTGAACTATCCACCAAAGCGGGCGGAGTGGGCGTGACGATGCATATACGAAGCACGCCGGAAGTTGTTGGGCTAGACCGCGGACAAAGGAGGTCTGAATTTCAAAAGTTCCCGCCTTCTCTACGTACCTGATGGCGTGTTACGCCACCAGAACGCGGCAGCTCGTTCTTAGCTCGTTTCGATCCTTTGGCGAAAGGCGTCTCCATTCTCAAAAGTTCCTGCCTTCCCGCATTCCTGATGACGTGGCATGACACCGCAGCTCAGTTTAGCTCGTCGAGGTGTTGTCAGATAACTTATTGGATAAGCACATGAGGGATTTTTGGTATTGGAGGAGATGCATGCAGCTGGTCGAAGGCGGTCGAGTCCAAGCGTCGTGCCCAAATCAAGGTTGCCCCTGTCTCAGGGTCAGTACGACCGACAACATTGGAGGAAATTGAACGGTTTCAAGCCGTACCTACTGGTGATTCCTGGATTTGCATGGTAAACCACTCAACAATTCGAAGCCATCAAAGAAGGGAAGTATCTGGCCAGGGAAACATCGAGCGATTTTGGCTTCAAGAGCTTAAGAGGGAACGGGGATTGAACGTAATGCACCATTTGGCCCTAAGCACGTCACACCAGCTGGACCCAAGAACGCACCGTGGCGGGGATGCGAAATGAAAGGACCGACTCAGAAAAAGTGTAAAAACTCGGGCATGATAAGACAGGGATACTAACGGGAGCTTGAGGACGAGAAGCGAGAGCGAGAGGTCTGTTGGGAAGGGAGAGAAGTCAAGAGTACATGTCGGGAGAGCGGCGGGAGGTCCAGCCTTTATATACTGGCACATCGTAAGGCGGGGCGTCCACGGGCTGGCGCGCTCATGGCGGCGCCCGCGCCTTGCCCGTTTGGGGATGCCACCAT